ATGGATGGATGGACAATAATTCAATAATCTAATATGGAATAATAAAGCAAACTTGAAGGGTCATTCTGCATAACAAATAATTATATAAAGATGTCACATGTTAATATATTTTTACTAAGGCAAATAAAGTATCTGAATAATTAGACCACTGACAAGACATTCTGATCATACATTTGTAAGGTGGCGATGGCTGAGTAGGTTGTCCGCTAATCGCGGAGTTGGCAGTTTGATGCCCTGCATGTGCCAAAGTGTCCTTTTGCAAAATAAGTTGGCTCTGATGGCAGGTGAGCTCCTTGCATGTGAGTGTGTGTGTGTGTGTGTGTGTGTGTGTGTGTGTGCTTTGTAGAGCCTTGTGAAACCTAGGAAGGTCAAAAGGTGCTATATAAGTCGCAGACCTTTTACTATATAACTTGGTAGTCTTCCTCAATATATTTTCTATGTATCTTCTTATTTCATTCATTTCTGCTCATGGGCTAATATGCATATCTGTCCTTCACAAGTCATTCTTCTACTCATTACTGTATTGTTATGATTTCTGTTATTATTTCTTTTGAATATTTTGGCAGCAGGTTAATCTTTCACTCAATCTGACACAAATTACTGTGGAAACCTTCCTTGTTTTCCATGAGCCCTGCTGAGTGATTGATTCAGTGGTGTGTAGGAAAGCTTGATGGGTTCAAAGCTTAGTTAGTTAGTTAGTTAGTTAGTTAGTTAGTTAGTTAGTTAGTTAGTTGCTAATAAATGAAATGCTCTATCAAGGTAGATTGACTTTTGTAACAATCTGTATTTGCACAGGATCCGCTGAAGACTTTCTGCATTGTCGTGTATAAGCCACCAAGTCACGTGTATGGGGAAGTTAGTGGACAGCTCAGTGTTGCAGCAAGGGAGCTGGTGTGATCCAGCTGCAGTGAGAGGTGGAGAGGTGGGTTGTGTTGAGCTACATCTAAGCTGTTTTAGGACAGAAAAGAATTCTTTTCATGGAAGCACCTTCTAAATAAACTTTGATGCTCAGTTATGAACTTTTAGGCATTTGATCATTTGATAAATGACTGGAGAAGGATTTCAAAAATGCTCTGAGACAAGATATTCGTTAAGACATCATTTATTTTTGGTCATTATGCTTTACATGTCATAATGCATGTCCAGGGATATAACAATGTTGTTGTTGAACAGTTTGTGTTTGCTTGACAGTATTTTGGTGACTTATTTCATTATAACGGTCAATTTGACCATTACCATTTCACAATATATTCAAGTCACATTTTGTTACAACATGTTGCACAGAAAAGCATTAGTGTACTTTTAATAAGATTATTGGTCACCCAAACAAACAAACAAACCAAAAAAAAAAAAAAACAAGGTTGTACAAAAACAAACAAAAACAGACAAACACTAAATTAAGAGTCACCAGTTGAAGTCAGTATAACAGGAACAGAGTGGAAAAGAAAAAAAAAAGTCAGGACACAACACAGTTATAACACCTCAATTTCACATGCTGTCTCCATTACAAAAGCTCACTGGTAACTTTGTGGATTGCTTCCCCCATCCCTGATCACCTGTTTTCATAAATTAGTTTTCCTTCTTCTAAGCACCTATTTTCTTGTAGTTTTCAAGTTGAGATGCTAACTATTCCTCAAAGAAGGGTGAACTGCCTGCCTGTTGGGTTGAGGAAAAATGAACAGGGAGTTTACTTTGAGAAATAGATTGCAAATTTAGTTGGTTCGGCTTCTGGGAACTATTGTATCAACGTATCACGTTGAAGCAATGAGGAACCCAGAGAAAGAGCAGTGGACATTCTCAGCGGCAAAGACACCATTGGCCTCCTCATCTGGGATCTGGACGTAGACTGTGTCCTGCTCATCGAGCAGAAGGACAGCGCTACCAGACATCTGGTCCAGGAAGCCCTTGTTGTACTCATCATAAGTGAACATAACAGGCTGGCCATTCTTGTACAGAGCCACCAGGGCATGAGCTCCATTCACATGGATGCTGTAGGAGAAGTAGTAAACTCCAGGAACCTGGCAAGTGAAAATGCCTGTCTCAGGGTCATAGTGATTCTCAGCATTGTACACGATCTGGTCAAACTTAATGGGGGTGCCAGCAGCAGGGTAGGGGGTGGCCAGAGATGCAGTGAAAGCAGACATGGGGGACTTGACCATGACCTCACTCATGCCCATACCCTTCTCGAACACAACCTCACCAGGAGGACCAGGAGGACCGGGGGGACCAGCTGGGCCAGTCTCTCCATCAGCTCCATTATCACCGGGAAGACCAGGGGGACCCTGAGGTCCAGGGACACCCTTGGCAGCCAAACCAGCAGGGCCAGGAGCACCAGGGAGACCTGGGTGTCCCTTAGCGCCATTAGCACCAGCAGGACCTTGAGCTCCAGCAGGTCCTCTAGGACCTGGAGCACCATCAGATCCAGAAGCACCGGGCTCACCTGCGCGGCCAGGATGACCTTTGGGTCCAGCAGGTCCTGGAACACCTGGGGCACCTGGGGTACCTGGGGCACCAGCATGGCCTTTGTCACCTGAGGGTCCAGTGGCACCTCTGGGTCCAGGAGGACCAGCTGCACCTGGATAACCCTGCTTACCCTGGAAACCCTGAGCTCCCTGATCTCCCTTGTGTCCCTTAGGTCCCTGAGCTCCAGTTGCACCTGTGTCACCTTTAGGGCCAACAGCACCAGGTTCACCTGGGAAACCTCTTTCACCCTGAGGTCCACCAGGACCAGTGGGGCCAGTTGCACCAGTAGCACCAGTATATCCTGTTGGACCTTGGTCACCCTTAGGACCTGTGGCACCTGTGCTACCTGTAGCCCCTCTCTCTCCCTTCTCTCCATTTGCACCTGGCTTTCCATATCCGGGGACTCCAGGGGCACCAGTAGCTCCAGCAGGTCCCTGGTGGCCTTTAGGGCCAGCTGAACCAGGCAGACCTGGAGCACCATTCTCACCTGGCTTACCTGGAAGACCTACACCTGGGGCACCAGTGTGTCCCTTGGGTCCCTGGGGTCCCATAGGACCAGGGGAACCATCTCTACCTGGGCTACCTGACTTTCCTGGCTCACCGGGTGCACCTGATTTTCCTGGCTTTCCAACTCCACCCACACCTGGCTGTCCAGGTGGGCCCATAGGTCCTTCAGGTCCTGTATCACCTTGAGGTCCTTGAACTCCTACCCCTCTATCACCCTTAGCACCAGGAAGTCCAGGAACACCTGGATGTCCTTTCAGGCCAGGTTCTCCTCTAGGTCCCATTGCTCCAGGAAGACCTGAAGGTCCAGGCTTGCCAGTAGCAGACAGACCAGCAGGTCCGGGGCTTCCAGCAGATCCAGGGACTCCCCTAGGTCCCTGAGGGCCAGTGGCTCCAGTGTCTCCCTTCTCACCATTTTCTCCAGGGCTGCCAGGTTTGCCAGGACCACCTGGGGATCCAGGCTTGCCAGCAATGGAGCGGCCAGGAGAACCAGGAGGTCCAGGAGGTCCTTGGGGTCCAGGCAGGCCTTCACCATTCTCACCTGGGGCACCAGGAGGGCCAGCAGGTCCCTCAGGGCCGGGCTCACCTGGAGGACCAGGCTCACCTGCTACTGACACCACTGTGAAGAGTGAAAGAGAGACCATCATGAATACACTAAAACAAACAAATAACAGACACAAAGTTGCTAAATGAAGCACTCACAGGTGGTGTGCTGCTTTGTTATATATTACTGTCACTATAACATATATGTTCTGTGACAATGGTGTAGTAAAGTTTGAATCCAAGATGTCGACTGTGTTCAAGAGCATGTTTTAAAACCTCTTGTTCAGTTCATTGTACACTGTGATGGACCTGTAGTCTGTGCATATAGTGATATCATCAGTCTACTTCATACCTCCAGTACTTATAACTTTATTTTAAAGCACTGAAAGTGCAAGAACATGGATGCACTTGAAAGATTTCGGGTCTCAGTTTGTCTGAGTATGAACAAGTTTTGTAAGTGACTTGTTGACTTGCAACAGGCTCTTCAGCAATCAAATGTGACAGAAATTGTAACTTTCAAGAAAAGTTGTCCAGTGAGTGTTGTTCTCCTTCATGGTTTCATCATAAAGTCAGAAATTGTTGAAGTATTATCTCTTGATTGGTCCTTTTTCAATGCTTCCTGGAGGTGGGGAAGAAATGCTGTATAATTGCAAAGTATGACTACATGGTGCTGATTCACTTATTTAAATAAAATCTAATTTGTATTTTTGAGCCTTTAAAATAAACGTAATAAATGTGTCTCGGCTTTCTTTAAAAAAAAAATACTGTACTGTCATTTGGGCTTGTATTTAATTATAATATAGAAAAACCGTAAATAAAATAAAACTGATTGTTCATAACTTGTTTTATTACTATTTTAATATGGAGCACAGGTCAAAGACATCTTGTGACTTGTTTGTGAAACAGTAGTTCTAAATGAGGAGTTTTTTTTATTTGCTGCCTTCATGTGGTCACATGTGTTTGAGTGTAAAAAGCTCACTCCCTGGCTAACTCTAGCTTAGTTTGGATAAAGCCAAACAGATGTTTCTACTTCTGTGTTAAGCAGGCACACCCAAACAAACCACACTGCTGGGTGACTGGACTGTAATTGTTAGTGTCAAACTAAAAATAATCCACTAACAGCTACTTTTCTAAATAAAAATAGCCGTATGTTGATTCACATAAAAGCATAAAAACAAAAACATTACATATTTTGTATTGCATTTTAAGAAACACTCAAGACCACACCATCATTTCTATTTTTAAGGTGCAGAAAATTGTTTTCTTGTAAGACTCTGAATAGATTGGAAATCTGGATCTCCGTCATGTTTTGCAAAGGAAATCTCTGGGAAAGTTAACTTTGTGCTAAAAACAAACTGAATTGTGCCTTGAAAAACTTGAGGCAACATTTAGAGTAAAAATTAAATGAGAAAACATATCTGCCAAATTTAATGCACTAAATGCAGCTAATGCAGCAGTAGCCTTATAATATTCTGCCCCTCAAACTGTCAGATGTATAGATACAACAAACAATAAAACACACAACAGTAGGAACAGATGATTTAACGATAAACATTGTGCACCAAAACAGAGCAGGCACAATAAATATTTAAAAAGCATCTTGCACGTTAACCACCATTATTTATAAATGTTAAAAATATTAAAAAGTATTTCATTAAAAAAATGTTGTTCATGCAAAAAAAACCCTACAAAATTCTATGAAGAATATAACAATAAAGTTGCAGATTTGATCCAATGTAGGATTTCTAGCAAGAGAAAACTGCTTAGTGTTATTATTCATCTCCCAGATCTAAACAGACTATGTGATTGGAGAGACTTGCAAACTGCTGTAGCCAATCAGAACACAGGACGGTCCCAGAGCAAGGTGGAGTTCAATTTTCAAAGTAAAGTGCAGCTGTGGCCAGCATCTGTCTGACTGCTTACAGAGCTGCTGTTAGCCACAACAAAGATGTTAATTTGCTCACTTAAGATTCAAAGGTAAGGCAAGACTGTCACGCTCAAGTAAAGATCACGTTTAGGCAAGAAAGTCTGACTTTATAGGAAACTTTCTCTTTTTGCTTTAAAATGAGAAGTGCTTGCATGGTTTCCCATCAGAAGCAGACTTTATACAGAGAAAGAGGCTGTGCTTTCTTACCATGGCTCTTCACAGGGTAGGGCATCACCTTCTTCACCACATACCCCTTTCCATGGGCAGCTGTGGAGGCCACCATGAGGAGGAGGAGGCTTGCTACTCGCATGTACATCTTGCAAGGTCAAGCCTGTAGGGGAAAGAAGAACAAGACAGTCAGCACAAGGTGGAAAGAGTTTGCAAACTTTTTCATTTTAGCTTTGAGCACAAAAACAGCTAAGTGTACATGCTCTACATTTCTTTGCAAAAATTCAGTAGACAGGGAATAAGATAGGATATGTTAACGTAGCAGAGTGTAAATCTCAATCTTTATCCCAGTCACAGCATCCTGGATCCTTCAGGACTCTCTGACTATCACCCCAGAAGCTCCAAACCAGCCAAGGTCTGCCCTGCTATCCCAGTCTGCCATAGGGAGCACTCAAGGCCTAGACAAAGCCTAGATGTTGCCTACACTCCTCCAGAGATAGATGCAGCTAGAGTAGTAAGAGAAATCACACGTACCGGTGTCCAAAGAGGGGAAAACCAAATCTCTTCAGCACCAGTGAGCTCCTGGTGCTGCTGTATATCCTTAGGGTAGGAGCACAACTGAGGATATGCTGCCTCCCAGTACAATGATGTGGGTATTTATACCATATCTACCCCTTGCATCATTAAAAAAAAAAAAAAGCCCCCACCACGCAAGTACCTCCCTCCCCGGAGCTAGGCTGTAATTAGCAGACAGATCTGCCCAAAGCGGGCATGTCACATCAGGGTGCCTCAATGTCTTGAATATCCAGACACATGATTATCACTTATTTCAGTCTTCTTTTGAACTTGAAGATATTCACTTTGAGAGGAAATAAATAATAAAACAAAAAGAACACATATACAAAGAGTACAAACAAGCTCTGCAGGAGGAATAAAGTAAAGACACCTTTTCACTTGCAGCTTTGTTAAACTTATATTTATAGTTTTACGGCAACATTTATGCTTCAAAACTGTCAGGGTATGTTTATGTAAATATATGTTTTTAAAACCTTCTGCTTAAGTATGAACATGTCTGAAAATAGTCAAAGCAGATCTATAAAAAAAAAAAAGCCAGACATCCAAATCTGTCGTGGCACCTGTGTTGCTTTACAAAGCTTGCATTGAGGATGTACAGTACAAGACTCATCTCCAAATTTACATCTTGTCCAGCCGGCTGGAGGAAACTCTCTTTTACCTTTCCTGACCGTCTGGACACCTCCACGCCTGAAGTAACGTAAACAAGGGAAATGGTGGGAAAGACTGCCATGGATGAAAGGTGCTGGAGATTTTAATTGCCTCAGACTGAAAGCAAATGATGGTGTTCAGCGCTGATGAAAAGACATCATTTAAGGAAATCACATATTTAGATTTCTTGTTAAGTAATTTTAGTTTTGTACATTTCCTGGGTATTATTTGGACAGCTTGTTATTGTGGATAATAGATGACAAAGTGGCCTTGATTTCGGTCTCTATTTCAGGATGAACACTTTTTCTTAACTTGTGTATTTTTGCAAGTGCTTCGGCCTCAAAACAGCTAATAAAGCTATATAAGGAACCACTGGAAAAGACATTTGGGCTTGTTTCTGTGCAGCCTCGTGAATGCAATCCAGTGTCTCAACAGTCCTGGTGTGCAGTGCTCATGTTTATACACCAGAGGGCAGGTTTTCACTGATGTACTGCACCTCTCCATGGAGTCTGAGGTGTTGCTCCTGCTGCAGAGAGAGGAGCCATGCCCCTGTGGTCACTTGTTATTTTTGGCCCCCTCAGTACATATACACCATCAGAGGTTTCAGGGCCTATTCCTACAACTAAACTGGTTTCTGTCATGATGCATGTATTTCCTCAATCAGCGCTATCCTCCAGCATTATCCTCCCTCAGCCTCACCCTCCACCTTGCCTTGCTTACTTTGAGATCTTCCAACTGTAATTTCTCAGTTTCACCCCAGCCACATAGGAAATGCATACACCCAAATAATCACATGTTCTCAAACACACAAGTAGCCATAAACGATGTGTAGGGTAGCCTGTGTCCCATCCCAGAAATCTTCCTGAGAGCGCAACCATTTATGGCACATGTTCTTCCTGTGTTCCTGTAATGTACATACATACTGGTGGAAATGTGAGTATATCTGCTGAAATTATGACAAACTGTGTAACTGAGGGTTTCACCAAGTTTCTATATGAGGCGTCTGTTCTACACGTGACTGTGACAGCCGTCTTTCACCGGCGGTATAATTAAAGATTCTACTACACGGCTTGTTTGAACCCCACTTTTTTTTGTAAATTGAACCTAATTATCTGCAATTTTCCAAAGTGCTACCTTTCCTGGCACATAGTACTTAATCATGTTTGGCAAGTATTGTTTAAGTTCACTCTTCCTGTCAAATAAAACAAAATGTAATTTGTGATCTTCATTTCCAAATGCTTGAAATTCTGTTCCTAACCGAGGTAGGAGTGACAGGTGCAGACTGGCCACCTGAGGCTGTGTGATGATTACCATACGTCATGTTACGTGCGCTTGCGAGACGTGCAGCTGAAGCAGGAGGAGCATCACAATCAGGCCGACAACGGAGGTGCACGTTACATTTTTCATTCTGTTTGCACGTGCTTGGTCTTGCTTTATCAGCTGCGGAAAGTCATGTTTATCCTGCAAGCACTCAGTACTCAAGTGCTAGATTAAATTACTGATGAATGCTACACAAGTGCGCCACCAGTTCTGATAGCTTTTTAGCAACACAGAATTATTTTCACATCTCTTTATGCCTGTGTTCTAAGAGAAGGCCCAGCCTCTCCAGCTTTAGTCAGATTTAGATGAAATGACAGAGCAAGAGAGGGTGGAGTTAGGATTTTACATGTTTATAGATTCAGATAATTTCAGTCTGTTTATGTTTTTCAAACATGGCTAAACCACTGCAAATGAGGTTCTCCCTTTTTAGTTCGATGTTCTGAGAACAATGATTCATCTCTTTATGCATAAAAAACAACATCCTGCATCTGCATGTGAGCCCGTGAAGACACAGAAACCTTCATGCTGTGCTTTGGAACCAGAAGTATACTTTGGCTGGAGGAAGACTTGGATTAACAGTGTAATTTGGATGTTGTTTATAACCTCACAGCAAATTTTTTCATTTTCTTAACACGACACTGCACTCGTTTGAGAAGGACTCTCTGTCCTTGTGCTTATAGCGGCAGAATTGAAGGCTGTGAAAGTGCATGGCGGAGCTCCCTCTGCTCTGCTCATTACAGTACCGCAGCGGCTTGATGTGGTTGGCAAGCTTCATTGTAATAACCATTAGGAATTAGGTTAACAGCCTTCAAGCTGAAGGTGGTGACGTCGCTCTGCTCTTATACTGTCGCGAGTCCCTCACTGTAAAATATGCTTTCGGTTTCATGTTGCTTCATGCACTTGATATATGACATAAAATGCTTTTACTGAATTTAGGAAAGTAAGAAAATGGCTAATTATAAACACACCCAAAGTCAGTGAGGGCAAATGAAAGCTGAATGGCCTCTTGTTTTTGGATCACATGGATTTTAAGATTTGTTTTATTTGTGGTTTATGTGATAGATGCTGTCAGTGGTGGAAAGTAATTAAGTCTATTTGTTGAAGTGCAATAAGGAACGTGTGCATTTTACTTATTATTTTATGTTATTTTAGGGAAAAGAAATATTGTCCTTTTTATGCTATTGCATTTATTGGTCAACTTTTGTTAGTTTTTGATTCAAATTATCGATGCAGATTTATTTTGATGCCAACGCTCACGACTGCATAACTTTTGCAATGCTGTGATTTGTGCAAGTGCGTTACTGCGACTAAGTACAAGACCTCAGTGCTTTCTTTAACCACAAGTTCATCTCTCGGAGCATAGGTCAGCACAAATTCTCATTATGCGCCACAAAAAGACTGAAAAGAAAGATAAAAACAAGCCTGGGAAGCTGTGACAGAGCAAAGTTTCTTCGGCTGACCTTTCAGCGGAGAACATAAGCTGACATTTGGAGGTCCTGCTTGTTGTTTAGGCTTCCATCCGTATCTAACAACAGCCCATAGATTTCACTAAATTCCCCCGAGAGCACTGCTGGACACTGTTACTGGCAATGTTAGTGATGTTTGTGCTTGTACTCGACAATGATAACAGTGTTTGAAAGAAAGGTTTTCGCATTTTGTCTGTTTTTGTTCGCTCCACTGCCCAGGAATTGATGTTTCTGGTTTCTTCGAAATGCCGACCAAGGCTCAACCCACACCCAGCAGAAGAACATAATTGGCGGTTGATGTAAGGGGACCCGACCGAGCACGTGAGTTAAGCAACGGCTAAAGATACACCATCACTGCTGGGATACAAATTTAATGTTTCAATAAACTCCATGGACCACTAAGAACTACTTTAAACTTTATGAATGGCAGACTTGACGGGGGCCCTCATGAGTGATTGGTGGGGAAATTACAGGGTCCCGAAAACAAACACGGACACAAATGGAGCCGGAAGTGTAAAAGTAACTGAAAAACGGTGGTGGTGGTGGTGGTAACCTTAGAGATGAGGGCCGGTATCTGGGAGGTCACCAATTTCAAACCCAGAATGGCAGGAAAATGGGGGGGATGCATGAGAAAGCAACAGTTGGGTGTCCTTCAGCAGCTCCCAGGTGTAAATGCATGTAGCTGTCCGAGTATAAAGCAGCAAGTTGGCACTAACCTCTGCCCAGTCAGTTAAATTTTTGACTTCAGGTTGTTTTATTGTGTTAACACATGAAATTTGCTGTGTAATTAAGTTGAGAGGTTGGAAATATTTGGAAATAGTTGACAATTTGCGCTCACTTGCTGCTTGTGATGTTATCACCAATGCGCTTGATGAAGCCGCTGCTGCACACACGCTTCTGTAAATAAGGACTTGCTTATTGCCAGTCAACCAAAGACAAGTGCTACTTTATCTGATTCAATTGTTTCTGTTTCCATAGTTTAATTTGCTGTAAGTTTATTTCTGGAAAGGTCTGACTCAGCGGAGGCAACTTTCTTAGTCTTTGTTTAGCAGAGGAAATCTGACTTTCAGAGCTGCAGCAGCCATAATCTAATTTAACTTGAAGTACTTACCCAGACAGTTTATGAGGTGCTGCAAAACACCACTTGTGCACAGAAGTTTTTGCAAAGGTAAAAAGGTCAGAAGAACATCTATATAGATATATATAGATTTCCATTCTTGTTGTGCACTCAAGCAGGGAAACAGCGTTTCTTGTTATTTGTTATAACTTTCTTCTACCACCGAGATCATCTTGTATTGTTCAAAATCTCTTCAAAGTCTGTCTTTAGCCAAGCAGAAGACAGACGGCTAGAAGTATCTGCTTATTGCGGGATCATTTAAAGATATCAAAGCGAAATAAAACCACCTCTGTGGGATTTTCATCGCTTAAGCGTAGGTGGCAGAGTCCTGTATTTAAGGATAATGACTAATCCAGTACATCAAGCCCGCGAAAATTTCAGGTTTCACTGTCTGTATCAGGCAGCATCAGCCACTTCATAGCAAACACCAGAAAAACCTGCCGCTGTGT